TGCAGCAGGGGCTGCAGCCTACACCATGGCCGGCGACTCACGGCAGCCCAGCTCCAGGTTGAACTGTTGTTCAGCATCTTAGCTGTAGAGGGCAGTGTCACTGGCCCTCATATGTGGGATCCGAACTGGGGCCCTCTGGCATCCCAAGTCAGCTCTTAACCAACGCGCCGGCCCAAAACTGCAAACTTTTTGAAAAGCTGCAATAGAACTGTCAGCCCAGCAGCTGAGGGCCATCAGCTGCACCTGCCTTTGACACCCAGCTGCAGACACTGGACACTGCGCCCCTGACCCCGTCCCAGCATTGGCCACATGCCATGGGGCTGATGTCCCAGAGTCAGCACAGGCATCACTGGGTGTCTGCCCCAGCGTCCCCTCGATGCCGGGTCACATGTTGGTTGGTTGTCTCTTACACATGGACCTTTTAGAAGCATAGAGGCCAGTTGTCCTGTAGAAGGTCCCTCACTTTGCATGTGTCTGATGATTTTCTCACAATTAGATGGAAGCATCCAGACGAGAAGCATCTTTTCACATGTCTACTGGCCACCTTTGTGTCCTCTTTGGAGACATGTCCATTCAGGTCCTCTGCCCATTTTTTAATCAGATTATTTGGGTTCTTTTGGTGTTGAATTGTATGAATTCTTTATATATTTTGGATATTAACTGCTTATCAGATGTATTATTGGTGAATATCTTCTCTCTTCAGTAGGCTGTCTTTTCATTTTGTTGATAGTTTCCTTGCTGTGCAAAAACTTTAGTTGGATGCAGCCCCACTTGTTTATTTTTGCTTTTTTGGGGGGAGGAGGGTATTTGGGGGAGGGGAACAATGTTGGGGAATTGGGGAAGGGGAACAGCCAAGTTGTTGTCCTTCTACCTTAGTTGTGGAGGGCGCAGCAAGCTCAGCTCCAAGTCCAGTCACACCGCTCAGCTCAAGGTACTGTGTTCAATTAGTTGCGGGTGGGCGTAGCCACCATCCTATGCGGGAGTTGAACCGGAAGCCTTGTTGTTAAGAGCGCATGCTCTGTCCCCTGAGCCATCCGGACGGCAGTTCAGCTCAAGGTGCCAAGTTCAGTCTTAGTTGCAGGTGGGCATAGCCAACCATCTCAAACAGGCAACCTAGTTCTTAGGAGCACGTGCTCTCACTAGCTGAGCTATCCTGCCACCTGTTGGCAGCTCAGCTTGGGCGCAGCTCACTGACCCATGTGGGATTCAAACCAGCAATCCTGTTGCTCAGAGCTCGCACTCTTGAGCAAGCGCTTAACCAGCTGAGCCACTTGGCTGGCCTCTATTTTTGCTTTTGTTTCCCTTGCCTGAGGAGATATATCAGTAAAAATAGTACTAAGGGTCATGTCTGAGAGTTTACTTCCTCTCTTTTTTTCTAGGAGTTTTATGGTTTCTAGTCTAACATTTAAATCTTTATCCATTTTGAGTTTATTCTTGTATATGGTGTAAGAAAGTGGTCCGGTTTCATTTTTTTGTACGTATCTGTCCAGCCTTCCCAGCACCACTTACTTAATAGACTGTCTTTACCCCACTGTATATTCTTGCCTCCTTTGTCATAGGTTAATTGACCATATATGGGATTACTTCTGGGCTCTATTCTGTTCCATTGATGAAGGAGTGTTTTTATGCCAATACCATGCCGTTCTGATGACTGTGGCCTTGTAGTATAGCTTGATATCAGGGAGCATGATACTTCCAACTTTGTTCTTCATTCTCAAGATTGCTGTGGCTATTTGGGGTCTTCTGTAGTTCCATATAAATTTTATTAGTTCTAATTCTGAGAAGAATGCCATTGGTATTGTAATAGGTATTGCATTGAATCTGTATATTGCTTTAGGTAGTAAGGACATTTAACAATATTACTCCTTCCTACCCATGAGCAAGGTATATCCTTCTATGTATTTGTGCCTTCTTCAATTTCTTATTTCAGTGTCTTCTAGTTTTCAGAGTACACATCTTCTACCTCTTTGGTTACATTTATTCCTAGGTATTTTATGTGTTTTAATGCAATTATAAATGGGCTTGTTTTCTTAATCTCTCCTCTGGTCATTACTGGTGTATAGAAATGCAATAGATTTCTGTACATTGATTATCCTGCAACTTTACTGAATTCACTTTTTCTAAGTTTTTTGGTGGAGTCTTGTCATCTGAAAATAATGAGAGTTTTTCTTCTTCCTTTGTGATTTGGATGCCTTTTATTTATTTTTCTTGCTTCACTGCTCTGGCTAGAACTCCCAATACTATGTTAAGTAACAGGGGTGAGAGTGGGCGTTCTGGCCTTGTTCCCGATCTGAGAGGAAAGGCTTTCAGCTTTTCACTGTTGAGTATGAGGTTAGCTGTGGGTTTGCCATCTATGGGCTTTTTTACGTTGAGGTGTGTTCCCTCTACTCACACTTTGCTGAGAGTCATCATAAAAGGATGTTGAATGTTGTCAAATGCTTTTTCTGCATTTATTGAGATGATCACATGGTTTTTATCCTTTATTTTGTTAGTGTGATGTATCACATTGATTTATGGGTATTGAATCATAAATCAATATGCACGCCTGGGATGAATCCCACTTGGTTGTGGTGTATGGTCCTTTTAATGTCTTGCTGAATCCGGTTTGCTAATATTTTTATGAGAATTTTTGCATCTATGTTCATCATTGGCCTGTAAGTTTCTTTTTGTGTGTGTGTGTGTGTGTGTGTGATGTCTTTATCTGGTTTTGGTATCAAGGTTATGCTGGTTTCATAAAATAAGTTTGGAAGTGTTCCTTCCTCTTTGGTTTTTTGAAATAGTTTAAGAAGAGTAGGTATTAATTCTTTGAATGTTTGGTAGAATTTACCTGAGAAGATATTTGGTCCTGGACTTTTATTTGTTGGGAGTTTTTTGATGATTGTTTCAATTTCATTGCTAGTAATTGGTCTGTTTAGATTTTGTATTTCTTCCTGGTTCAGTCTTGGAAGGTTTACGACGTCAGACAATTAAGGTTGCAAACTCATCCTAGAAAAAGTGCTGCGTACCTCTTGCTGAATATCACTACGGTCACCTTCAAAGCACTCCCCTTGGGAAGCTATGCACCGACACCAGCACCTAGTTCACCCTTCAAAGCAATTTTGGAACTCTTTCTGGAATAGCCATCAGAGCTGTCGTCATCATATTACCCTTGATGCCCTGAATGCCATCAAAATGTCCTCCTTTTAGGGCGTCCGGGTGGCTCAGTTGGTTAGAGTGCATGCTGTGAACAGCAAGGTTGCTGGTTCGATTCCTGCGTGGGCCAGTGAGCTGTACCCTTTGCTACTAGATTGAAGACAATGACTTGAGCTGAGCTGCCGCTGAGCTGCTGGTGGGCGGCCGGATGGCTCAGTTGGTTAGAGCGCATGTTCTTAACAACAAGGTTGCCGGTTTGATTCCCGCATGGGATGGTGGGCTGCACACNCGCAACTAGATTGAAAACAGCAAGTAGATTGAAGGACAACAACTTGACTTGGAGCTGATGGGTCCTGGAAAAAACACACTGTTACCCAATAAAAGTTAAAACAAAAAAAAGTCCTTTCAATATTTGGTTTATCTTTGGGTAAAGAAAGAAGTCATTGGGGGCCAGATCAGGTGAGTAGGGAGGATGTTCCAATACAGTTATTGGTTTACTGGCTAAAAACTCTCTCACAGACAGAGCCATGTGAGCTGGTACATTGTCGTGATGCAAGAGCCATGAATTGTTGGCGAAAAGTTCTGGTTGTCTTAACTTTTTCACGCAGCCTTTTCTGCACTTCCAAATAGTAAACTTGGTTAACTGTTTGTGCAGTTGGCACAAATTCATAATGAATAATCCCTCTGATATCAAAAAGGTTAACAACTTCGGTGCAAGTTTGCCAACTTGTTAGACCTCATATACTTCCAGAAATTTATCCATTTCTTCTAGATTGTTGAATTTGTTGGCATATAATTGTTCCTGGTGGTAGTCTTTAATGATTCTTTGTATTTCTGTGGTGTCAGTTGTAACTTCTCTTTCATTTATGATTTTATTTATTTGGGCTCTCTTTTTCACCTTGATGAGTTTGGCTAAAGGTTTGTCTATTTTATTTATCTTTTCAAAGGACCAGCTCTTAGTTTTATCGATCTTTTCTATTTTTTTTTAATTTCTGTTTTGTGTATTTCCATTCTGATCTTTGTTATTTCCCTTCTTTTACTCACTTTGGGTTTTGTTTGTTCTTCTTTTTCTGGTTCCTTCATGTGTAGAGTTAGATTGTTTATTTGGGATTTTTGGTTTTTTAGGTAGGCCTGTATATCTGTGATGAATTGCTATAGTGCTTTGCAGAAAGTCAAGTGGCCATATGTATTAGTCTGCTAGGACTGCCTTAATAAAATACCACAGACTGGGTAGCTTAAGCAATAGAAATGTATTGTGTTGCAGCCTGGAATCTGGACTCTAAGATCACGGTGTCAGCGGGCAACCTTTCCTTCTGAGGCTGTGAGGAAGAATCTGTTCCATGCTCCTCACCTGGCTCCTGGTGGTTGCTGCAATTCTTGGTGTTCCTTGGCTTGTAGAAGCATCACCCTGATCTCTGACTTCATCTTATCTCTGCAGGCATCTCCCTGGGTCCTAAATCCCCCGTTTTGTAAGGACACCAGAAGTACTGGATTAAAGGTCTACCCTATTCCAGTGTAACCTCATCCTAACTTAATTAATTGTATTTGCAATGACCCTAGCTCCAAGTAAAATCTGAATTTGAGGGGCACACAGTTCAGCCCATAACATTTTATATTAGCAGGTATATTCCAGGACTCAGTTCTGCACCACTGATCGTACACCAGTATCACACTCTCTCAGTTCTTGTTGCTTTATAATAAGTCTTTAAATCTGGTAGAGTACGTCAGATTGTTCATCTCCATTAAAAAATCTTCTTATTATAAGACAAATCACAGGCAGAAACTGCACAAATGTGTGGCTTAATGACTCATTCTAAGACAAACACCTCTGTATCTACAACTAGTTCTCTTCAGTTGGACTTGTCTCCCCAGATGCCCCTTTCCTGCATCCTGTTCCACTGACAACCCTTCACCCACCTGATAAGTAATGGTTCCTCTGGTTTGTAGTAATCACTTCCCTGTAGTTTTACAGTATTCGCTTAGGTGTTTCAGTTTAGTCCCGCCCATTAAAAAAGTGATATATAGCTATACACACACACACACACACACACACACACACATATATAAATAAATAAATAAATAATAAAGTGATATATACAGTTGACCCTCGAACAACCTGGTATGAACTGTGTGGGTACACAATGCAGATTTTTTTCAATAAATACTGTAAGTGTATTTTCCTTGAGTTTCTTAATATTTTTTTAATTAAAATATACATGTTTTGAAAGGTAAATTTTTTTAAACTTTATTGGGGAACAGTATGTTTTTCCAGGACCCATCAGCTCCAAATCAAGTCGTTGTTTTCAATCTAGTTGTGGGGGCGCAGCTCACTGGCCCATGTGGGAATCGAACCGGCAACCTTGGTGTTATGAGTACCGTGCTCTAACCAACTGAGCCAACCGGCCACCCCACATTTTCTTTTTTCTAGCTTATTGTAAGAATATATTATATAATACCTATAGCATACAAAATATGTGGCATTTGACTATGGTATTGATAAGGCTTGGTAGTTAATTGGTAGTCAATTGGTAGTTAAGTTTTGGGGGAGTCAAAAGTTGTACGTGGATTTTCAACAGTGCAGAGGGTGGGCACCCGTAACACCCACATTGTTCAAGGGTCAACTATACTTACTCTCTCCCTCTTTTGGAGTCTCAGTCTTGGTGTTTTTGTTTGTTTATAATTGTTGCAAAATACAAAATTCACCATCCTAATCATTTGTAGCGTTGAGTACATTCACACTGTTGTGCAATCATCACACCGTCCGTCTCTGGAACTCTTATATGGCAAAAGTGAATCTCGGTCCCCATGAAACAACCCCCATATTTAAGTCTCTTGTAAGCTACAGATCCACCCTTGTCTTTCCCGTGTGCCTTCTCTGAGGAAGCACCTGGGCCGCTCGGCCTGCAGACCCCACAGCTGAGGTGAGCTGACCGCGTGGCAGGAGAATACCAACATGTCTGTCTTCCTTCTGAGCTTCTTGCAAGCTGAATTTGGAGGCAGGGTCAGGCTCCAGCTCAATTCTTTGGCCAGACTGGGAGGCACGTGATTCTGATTTTCTCTGTCCTGTGACCTTGGCGGCACCGGGGGTGGGGGGGTGGAGGGGTAGGTTGCTGATGCTCTGATTCGGTAATTTCTTGTTCATCGATTCGCTGGAATACTTGATTAAGAGGCACTGTCCTCATCTATTGTTTGGTTACCCAGAGCTGTGGCTCACATAGGGAAGGAGGATCCATCCTTGATTCTTTTGCTTTATTTATCAGTTTTTAGGATAATAGATTGGTTCTCTATCATCTTCCAAAGGTGACCATTTCTCTTTAAAAAAAAATATATGGGCTTGTGGATTTAAACATATTTCATGGACTTCAATTCATTGCAATTCTTATCATTAGTGAAATTCAAATTGCATCATCTGTGGTAGGGGACACCTCTTCAAGTTCTGGGTCCTTTGACAGCTGATGTTCTAGGCTTATCTTGTATAGATGCAATCTCTTATATGCCCCAGCATGGAATCAGCATTTCTCTAAAAAGCCCAGATTTCCTTTAGTGAGAAATTGTCTTTTAATACAGCGGTTTGGTGCTGGGGCTTATTACGTGTAGGTGTGCTGTTTGTGGGCCTTCTCAGTACATATAGCTAGGAAATACCTCCATCAGCAGACAGGTAGGTAGATAAAATCCCTTAAGAGTTCATACTGACACTTCCAAGTCATCACACTACAGAGCTTTTACCTCCTCTCTTTTCTCTGCTCCTCCACTCCGGGAATCTGGCTCTCTGGGTTGATAGATTTAGCACATCCCACACTTCCTCGTTTTGTCTCCTGTAACACACGAACCTAACCCTGGAGCAGCGCTGGTGCTGCTACCGCCTATGAGACGATAAGAATACGAAGCATAGTTTGCAGGTGCACTCCTCGTCCCCCCATTGTCGTAGCAGCTGCGTGTGGTGTCTGCATGAGTTTGGTGGCTGCATGTGTCCCTCTGTTGGTCCCAGTTCCCCAGGTAACTGCAGGCATGATGCTGCCCTCTGTCCTGAGCACGTGCCTCTGCTCTTTCTGGTCACTGAAGCTCATTCTCTAGTAGGTTCCACAGGAAGGACTCATGGGAACATAGTCCTGATTTCTGGTTTTTGATAATAGTTTCTTTGTGCCTTTGTACTTGGTGGTCCGTTTTGCTGGCTATAAAGTTCTTGTTTCACATTTCCTTAACTGTTCTGCAGCCGTACACCACCAACCTTATTGCTTTTCAATGAAGTAAAATGTTATTTGGGGAAAAAGTCATTGGTCCCCTGGGGAGATGTGGTTGGGCTTTTGCTTAGATGCTCCCCTGCTTCTCCCATGTGGAGGCCCACGCTGAGGCCAGATCCCTGGTGACGGGGCCTTGGGCCTCGTGGTGGTGGACAAGCTGGCTGGCCTCGGCCTCAGTGGCGACACTGAGCCATCTTTTTGTTTCTTGCAGCTGCTCAGATGGAAGTTAAGAAGCCCTTTATCCTCTCCTCCATGAGGGTTCCTCTTCTGGACACCAGCAGCAAGGTAGATCGTGGGGCCAGCCGAGCTCCACCGTGAGCAGTTGTAGGGAATGTGGCCGGGCTTGGATCTGAAGCCACCACTGTCCAGGCTGCCCCTCAGCCAGACCTGAGCATCAGAGGGTGTGTGGGGCTGGCGCTGTTGGGCAGTATGTCTAGGACTCCCCACATCTCACTCCTGATACAGTTCCCCAGGTGTGAAGGCAGGCACTGGTCCCCAAGACCACCCTCAGGTTCGAGAATCCTCTAGAACAGCGGTTCTCAACCTTTCACAGGGATCGCCTAAGACCATCGGAAAACACATATTTTCGATGGTCTTAGGAACCGAGACACTGCTCCTCTATCCGTCTCCAGGCCCACATGCAGATACGCCCACATACGAGTACCCGGCGACCCCTGTGAAAGGGTCGTTCGACCCCCAAAGGGGTCGCGACCCACAGGTTGAGAACCGCTGCTCTAGAAGGATTCTCATGAGAGCTGTCACACACAGTTATGGCTCATGACACCCAAAAGACACAGTACAACCTCCACCAGGGGAAGAGGTGCCTGGGGCAGGCCCAGGAGGCTCCAACATGGAGCTGTCAGTTGTCCTCTCCTCATGGAGTCATGGGCAGCGATGTGACAGCATGAATGGAGGCTGCCACCCAGGGCAACCCCCAGCCTGCATCCAGGGTCTTTTTGGGGCCTCCGTCTCTCAGGCCTGCATGGCTGACCTGCGTCTCCCGCCCCTCGGGAGGCCGAGCTGGTGCCACGTGGCCTGGAGGAGGTGCCAGCTCTGGGAAGAGGGTGCTGTTTTGGGCCATCGTGACCTGGCTGTGCCCCCAGGCGGAATCACTGAGTGGGGCTGGATGGAGGGTTAGAATTCCCAGGGGTGTTGGGGCAACAACTGCAGATTGTGGGGCCTCCAAAACGGGAGGCAGAGCAGGGCTGGTGGCACAGAGAAGCACAAGCCTGCTCCAGAAGGGGAGGCAGGTGTGGGGGCAGGAGAGCGGGCCCCCCGGACCTAAGCACATCCTCAGGCTGGCTAGAAGGCCACCTGTGTAGTCCAGGACCTGTGAGGAAGGTGGGAGTGCAGGCACAGATAGAGATGCAGATACAGGTAAGGGTACAGGTGTGTGTACAGGTTAGGGTACAGGTGGTTATAGGTAAGGGTATGGGTAGGTTCAGGTTGGGTACAGATGAGGGTCCAGGTGTGCATACAGGTGAAGGTATAGGTGTGGGTACAGGTAGGTACAGGTGAGGATACAGGTGTAGTTACAGGCACAGGTGCAGGCAGAGAAAAGGGAGAGATTCATGTCTCCACAGGGACGGTCTGGGAGCTCTCCCTCTGAGCCCCTCCCTGATTTTGGCTCTGTGCAGGTGAAGCGGGCAGTGGTGCAGGTGATCAGTGCCATGGCGCACCACGGCTACCTGGAGCAGCCTGGAGGCGAGGCGATGATCGAGTACGTCGTGCAGCAGTGCGCGCTGCCCCCCGAGACGGAGGTGAGGGGCCGCCTGACTCACCTTCCCTGGGGCCCAGGACCTGCCTTCTCTGTTGGGGAGCGTGGTCCCCAGAAGCTGCCGGGTCCCCGGAGCGCAGGTGTGTAGGCGCACGCGCGGCCTCGGTCTGTGCGCCCAGCAGCTTACTCCGGTTTCTAGCCGGGGCTCGGCACCGCGGTCGTTCGTCTCCTCAGTTCCCACAACTCAGAAAGGAGAGGCAGACAGGCACTTGGATCTGTTTGGGGCTTTTCTGTTAATATTTAAAAAGTTACTAAGCAAATCCAGGTCCTTGCTGAGGAAGAGCAAGGGAGACGTGGCGAAATCCTCCATCTTAGCTGTTAGTCCCCAGTGTGTGGGGACTTGAAGATCTCTCTCTGCATTAGAGAACTGACAGACTCCCATGGTGGGAAATGCACTTGGAATTCCTTTTGATAAAGGAGACTCTACTGTGAAGTCTGAGTCCTCATCCACATTTTGAGTAGGAGGAGATCTAAGGGGCTTAAAGGATTCTGAGAGCAGCAGCTGTCTGCAGATGGAAGCCTGGGTGGACATGCTGTCAGTCTTTCTGCTTTTGCGTGTGTTTCAAACATCCGTGATGAAATGAAATATTTAAAAACAAACGACTTGTGGGTGAGACAAGGTGGCCTTTGGCAGTTGGCCTGATGCTGCAGGGAGAGGTGAGCAGTGGTGAAGGCCCTGCCGTGTGCCTGCAGGGGCGCGGGGCTCCATCCACGGGCGGAGCAGGGTTGTCACGTTGGACCCGGACAGGCGAGTGAGCCCGATAGATTCTGGAACCGTGAGGTACAAAGGCAGTGTGAGAGAGAAAAGGGGGCCCCAGAAGCCTTGCTGGTTCTTAGAGTCCCCTAGAATGTCTTTGGAGGAATGTAAGTTACTGATTAGAATTATTTACTGCTTATTATTATTTTGCTGTTTTGTCTGTACTTTTTTTTTTTTTTTAGCTGAGCCATCCTGCCATCTGTTGGCAGCTCGACTCCGGCCGGCAATCGAACTGCTGTTGCTCAGAGCTCAAACTTGTGCGAGCTCTTAACCAACTGAGCCACTCGGCCGGCCCCCCTCCACCCCCCAACTTTCTTTTAAAGTCAGGGTTATTGAAGTGTAATTTGCATACAGTAAAACACACCTGTTGGAGTGTACGGTTGAGCTCACAGCCCCACGGCCTCCACATCACGTCAAGACTAATAGCATTCCAGCACCCCAAACTCCCTCTGCCTCCTGTGGCCAGCCCCTCTCCACCCCGGACCCTGGCAGCTGTTGGGTTTTCTGTCCCCAAGGTTCACCTTTTCCAGAATGTCATCTAAGTGCAGTTTGGAGCCCTCCAAGTCTAACTTCTTTCTTGTGTGTCATGTGTTTGAGGTCATCTGCGTTGTCACATAGACCAGTCATTTGTTCTTTTTTTTTTTTTTAAGATTTTATTGGGGAATTGGGGGGCAGGGGAACAGCGTTGGGGAATCGGGGAAGGGGAACAGACAAGTTGCTGTCCTTTTGTTCTTCAGTCTAGTTGTGGAGGATGTCGCTTCACTGGCCCATGTTGGTATTATCGTTGCACTCTTCCCGGGTGAGGCAGATCGGTCGCCGGCTGCTGGACGGCCACTCACAGTGGCTCTTGGCAGCTCACGCTGGCTGCAGGCCGCTCACGCCGGCTGCCAGCCACTCATGGTAGCTTATGGCAGCCCACTGCAGCAGGGGCTGCAGCCTATGCCATCGCTGGTGACTCAGGGCAGCCCAGCTTCAGGTCGAGCTGTTGTTCACCATCTTAGCTTTAGAGGGTGCAGTGTCACTGGCCCTAATGTGGGATCCAAACCGGGTACCTGCTGCTCAGAGCTGGGGTCCCAAACCAACGTGCCACTCCGCTGGCCCCATTTGTTCATTTTTATTGTGAGCAGAATTCTGTCTTACGCCTGACCACTCTGCAGTGGAAGGACATTTAAATCATTTCCAGTAAGGAATGGAGTCACGTGACCAGTTGGGAACAGGTTTCTGCGAGAGCATGTGTTGGTACACCCTGCGTATACCCTGAGAGACTGCTGGGGCTAATGGATTACTTCATAAGGAGCTGCCAACTGCCCTCCACAGTGGCCGCACCATGTTGCGTGCCCAAGGGCATGTGTGGGGGCTCCTGTGGCTCCACGTCCCTGTCAGCACTTGGGGCTTTTGGTCAGTGTTGTCTGTTTCTTAAGCCTAAGGGTTGATATGTCACTGGGTTTAATTTGCATTTCACTGATGACTGGTGATGTCGACCTTCTCCTCACATGCTTACTTGCTGTTCATGTACCCTCTGATTAAGTGTCTGTTCATATCTTCTGACTGTTTTTGAATTGGATTGTTTTCTCATTATTGAGTGTTCTTTACATATTCTGGGTATAAGTCATTTGTCATATTTGTGATTTGTAACTATTTTCTGACAACTCTGTAGCATGCTTATCTTTATTTTCTTAACAGTATCTTTCAAAGAGCAGAAGTTTTAATATTTTAGAAGTCCAGCTTATCAGTTTTTTAATTTATAAATCATAATCTCCGTGTCCTACCTAGTAAATCCTTGCCTAACCCAAGGTCACAAGGATTTTCTCCTGTGTTCTCTTCTAGAAGTTTTAGGTTTTACACTTAGGTCTATGATCCATTTTGAGTTGATTTTAGCGGGAATGTGAAGCTTGGGTCGAGGTTCACTATTTCGCATATATGGGCAACTAGTGCTCTCACCACATGAAAAGCCTCCTCTTCCTGCAGCGATGAATTGCCTTTGTATCTTTGTCAAAAATCAAGTGACTGTATGGCCTCTATTTTGTCCCACTAATCTGTGTCTGTCCCTTTGCTGGTGCCACACTGTCATGTCTATAGCTACATAGTAAGTTTTCAAGTCAGGCAGTGTGTCCTCCAGCTGCCGTCATCTTCGAGGTGTGTTCAGCTGCTATAGGTCCTTGATTTTTCCGTATAAATTTTAGAATCATCTCGTTGATTTCGACAAAAATAAACCTGTTGGAATTATGATTGGGATTGTGTTGAATCTGTAGACCATTTGGGAAGAATTGATATCTTTATAATATTGAGTCTCCCAATTCATGAAAATGGTACCTCTCTACATTTATTTAGGTTTTCTTTGGTTGCTTTCTTCAGTATTTTGTAATTTTTAGCATATAAATTCTATATAGTTCAGTGTGGACTCATGGGTTACTGTTTTATGCAGTGGTCTATATCCATTTCTGTCATTGGTTTTGGTGTCACTCTGAGCCGAATGTGGCCTGTGTCCTTGGGGCCTGGCCCCATCGTTCTCCCAGCCTCTCCTCACCTTCTGGCGCAGGAAGATGTCCCGGGTCACGTTGAACTGTCCTTGCCTCCAGCTCCGTGGACCCTTTTCAGATGAGCCCTTATTGTCTTTTATCTCTCAGGAATTGCGTCCTTTATTTCTCTGGATTTTCTGGCTCTCCATCTTTACTTCTAATCCCAGTATGTATTCTGTTATCTGCTCGTTAGCACGTCTGTTTCTTTGTCTTTCTTTGAAGTCCTCAATCTGGTCTTCCAAGTCAGTAATTTCTTCCTCAGCAGTAACCATTTCACTATTAATGTCCGCAAATTGTACACTTCAGTTCTTATAATTTTTCACATTTTTTCCATGTTCTTGGTTCATATTATATTTTCGTACCTACAGTGTGTTGTTCAGGTTAAGTTTATATTCTTGGTCCGTGTGTCCTCATGTTTCTGCTTGTGGCGGACTTTGTATGTTGTCTCAGCGTCGACGGTCAGATAGTTTGCACTTTCAACGTAACCTGGCATTTCTTTAGGATTTAAGAACATTGCCAAAAGAACATTGTTTAACATTGCCTAGGTGGACAGCTTTCCATGGCTGTTGTAGATTTGTAATTTTATTGCATTGTCTACATTGAATCTGGCCAGGCTTATTTCTGCTTTTAAGTTTGTCGAGATATTCTTTTTGGTCCAATATGGATGGTTAGGCTTTCAAAGTTGTTCATGTGCATTTAAGTATATTTTGAGAGCATGCTTTAAACATTGTTATTCAGGCCTAAGTATCCCAATTGTTTCCACCTGGCCCTTGATTTCTAAGTGAGAGGTGTTGCAGTCTGCAGTCATTGCAGGTTCCCAGATTTCTGTTCTGCTCATTGCTTGCTTTTGGTATTTGAAAGCATGGGTGGAAGGCCCCACAAAGCATTTATAAAACCGGTCATTCCCATGCTGGTCCCGCTTACTGGTCTGCCCAGCCTCCATACAGGCTGTGTCCTCGCGGCCCAGAGCCCACGCCCCACCACAGTGCCCTGCCTTTGCCCCCCACCCCCAGCCTCAGAAGCCTGGCCCGGACAGCGAGGAGCTCCCGACGGACAGCGTGCGCGCCATCAGCGTCAGGACCCTCTACCTGGTCAGCACCACGGTGGACAGGATGAGCGACGTGAGTGTGCGGGCGCTACTCGCGCCCTGTGACTGACCACTCCCTGCCTGGCCCCTTCGCCTAGCGCTTTCTGAACCGTGCGGGGTGCTCCGGGGCCACCCAGCGCGCCAACCGCCCACGGCGCTGCAGTGCCTGCGGGGTAGGCCCTCTGAGGCTGTCACCCCTGCGGACGCACCCCTGAGACGTACCCGGCGCCCCCCGCAGGTCCTCTGGCCACACCTGCTGCAATTCCTCACTCCCGTGCGCTACACCGGGGCGCTGACCCCGCTGTGCAGGAGCCTGGTGCATCTGGCCGGGAAGAGGCAGGAGGCAGGGCCCGGCACCCTCCTCATCAAGTACGACGGCCACGGTGCGCGGAGCCTGCGGGCCAGTCCCGGGACCCTCCCTGCCCCTAACCACCCCCAATCCCGGACTCCGCCCTGTCCCCGCCTCCGGCTCCGCCCCCTTACCTAACCCCGCCCCCACCCAGTCCCCTGACCCCGCCCCCGGCGGGCATTCCCTGAGCCAGTCGTGTCCTTTGCAGTGACCCTGCCGTCTCCCTACGCCATAGCCACGAGGCTTCTGGTAAGCGGCGCGGCGCAGTTCTCTGCTTTCACCTTTTGGACAGCCGGCACCCTCCAAGGGCCATCAAGAGAGGAGGGGTCTCTCCCCTGAGTCGTCGTCCTGTCCCGTGTGCCCCCCCACACCCCGCCGCCCCCGTCTCCATCCTCGCGTTTTCTCTGCCCTAGCGTTTTCATTGAGGAGAGGAGAGGACGCTGCCTTGCAGTGGGGGCTGGTCAGGCTCTCCTGTTGGGATTTTGGGGATCTGCCTCTGGGGGAGGGAGCTCACTGCCTCCATCCCAGCACCCCGTGGTCCAGGCATGGCTGCGAGCTCCCACCTCTGCCTCCTGCAGGCTGTGTCTTCCAACCCCTACCTGGGGGACGGCCGTGGGGCGGCCTCGCTGGGGCTCCTGAACGTACTGCATCGGGACATCCACCCTTTGCTGGGTCGGCGGTGGGCGACAGCCATCCCCCTGCTGCTGCAGTACTTGGATGGTGAGGCCTGGGGAGGTGGGCGGGCCCCTCCACCCAGTCAGGGGCAATGCTGGCCTGTGGGGACCAGGGTTTTGTAACTTGGAAGAAAACAGCCCCCGCCGTGGTTCAGGAGAGGGTCTGGACAGCAGGCCAAAGGACGCTTCCTGCTGGGTGTCACCTGGGCTGTGGGCCCAGCTCTGGACTCCATTTGTGTCTGGAAGGTGGGGCAGGGCCTGGGCCAGGTGTGGGGCGCTGGGCTGGGCCTGGGCAGGGTACTCTGAGCACTCCCCTCCTACCTGTAGTGATAGGGCCTGCCTGCCAGACTGACTGGGACTGGTCATTTCAGAACACACTGAGGAAAACCTGTCACAGAAGGAATGGGAAGAAAAGCTGCTGGTGGTGAGAGAAGGGAGAAGAGACCGAGGGTGTGGCTTGTCTTGGGCTTGGAGACCTTTTCTGGCCTAGGTGGGGAGAGCTTGGGGCGCTGTACCTTCCCTAGGGTTGTGACGCCTGCCTTGACCTAGTGGTGTGGCTGGGGAGGGAAAGAGGGACAGGCGGGTGTCTCTGGGGTGAGGACTGTCTGCTGCCCTCGCAGATTGCCCACCCTGCTGTGACAAGGCCCAATTACAGGGGTCCTTGAGCTGTCCTGGCCACGGCAGTCTTCTGTCCCATCCATCGCCTGGCCCAGAGCTGTCTGTGCCCCTAGCCCATTGCATGTCTGGCCACCCAGGTTTCTCTGCCTGGACGCAAAGGTCATCCACAGACCATTCAGAGCCATGGCATGGGACCACCTCGAGGTCACTGTGTGACACCCCTGGGCCTCAGGTTGGGGGCTGAGTTCTGGGCCTCTCACTGGTGCTGCTTCTGCCCACAGTTCCTTCGGGACACTCTGGCTGTTGTGTCTGACAACACGTGGGTTTGCCAACTGAGCCTGGAGATGTGCAAACAGCTACCCTGCTACAATGGGACACCCCAGGAGAAGGTGACAGGGATGGGGACACCTAGAAGTTGACAGGGAGGGGGACACCCCAGCATAAGGTGACAGGGACGGGGATAGCCTGTCCAGGTTTTCTGGGCATGGTCTTTAGGTCCGAGTTCCTGGGCCTTGATTCTGTGTCACTTGCTGCCTGAGCCTGTCTCTCGCCCTTGTGACCCTGCCAGAGCCTGGGAGCCACCTCATAGTGGCTGGTGGCTGGGAGACGCAGGAGCCAGGGTCCCCACCTCCTGCTCCTCAGATGGTGCCCAGAATTTGCTGGCTCTGTGCAGTGGCCTGTGTTGTGGGCTCCCGACAGACCCTCCCTCGTCGGGCTGGCAGTGCTGGGCCTCCACACTTGGTGCACGTGGTGCCAGCACAGCTATGCTCCCTGGCTTTGCCGCAGAACTTCCTGTATAAATGTGTGGGGACCACCCTGGGTGCCGCTTCCAGTAAGGACGTGGTGAGGAAGCACCTGCAGGAGCTGCTGGAGTCGGCCAGATACCAGGAGGAGGCCGAGCGTGAGGTGCCGGCACCTTCCCCGGGCAGCCCTGGGCCTGCAGGCTGCTGACAGTGCTCAGCCGTCCTCTTGGCCAGCGTGTGCGCATGTGCATGTGTACCATGCACTGTGTGGTGTGTGCATGTGTGTGCCGTGCGCTGTGTGGTGTCTGCATGTGTGTGCCGTGCGCCGCGTGGTGTGTGCATATGTGTGCCGTGCATCGTGTGGTATGTGCATGTGTGTGCCGTGTGGTGTGTGCATGTGTGTGCTGTGCACTGTGTGTGTGTGTGGGGGGGTGCATGTGTACCCCACCCCACCCAGGTGTGAGTGCCCCCATGTGCCTCTCCAGGGCCTCGCCTGTTGCTTTGGGATCTGTGCCATCTCCCACCTGGATGACACCCTGGCCCAGCTGGAGGAGTTTGTGAGGTCGGATGTGTTCAGAAAATCCATTGGCATTTTCAACATTTTTAAGGTACAGAAGTCAGGCTGACGGCTGGGGAGGAGGTCAGGAGAGGACGGGTCCGTGATTTTGTCTCAGCTGTGGCATCCTGCGTTTTGCGGTCCTGGGCGTGGGGGGTCCTGGAGCTTCCTGGGCTCAGGCTGCCTTGCAGGCCGGGGCTGGGAGCTGCATCCAGACTCAGCTTCCTTGAGGGCGGGGCTGCATGTGTGGGCTCGCTCCCAGCTGGTGCCAAGGGCCAGGCAGCCCTCTGCCAGTGGTGGGAAGTGAGGGGCGCAGCGGCAAGGATGGCTGCTGCTTCCTCTCCCGTCCCAACAGCAGTCTGCTTGTCCTCTGCCCCCTGGTGGCTGACGGAACCCGCTGTCTTGCCAAAGGCTGATTCAGGAGGGGTGGACTGCACCGTGCACCTCCACCCCAGCCCTCGGCCCTCGGTTTTCTCTCTTGGTTCCAGTTACAGTTTCAGGGCTGGACTGGGCGTGCAGGGCTGGCCCACACTTCCCGTGTGCGTAGGTGTGAACAGGCTCCAAGGACGGAGGGGACCCTGACTTGGCTCCCCAGCCCTTCCCCCGTGTGCCCCCCAGCTTGGTCCCCAAAGGGCCTGAGCCTGGCCTTTCCTCTGTCCCTGACCAAGGGGCTCTCCCTGGGGCTGGGCAGCACCATTCACCTGGTTAAGCCTGTGATGTTGCTGACTGGCTCTGCCCTTCACCAGAGGGACTGAGGGAGTCTGAGTGTGAGGCCTCCTGTGGGGGGTGGTTAGCTGTATAAGTGACATCTTGCTCATCCTCTGGTCTCAGGATCGCAGTGAGAATGAGGTGGAGAAAGTGAAGGGCACACTGATCCTGTGTTACGGACACGTGGCAGCCCGGGCACCCCGTGAGCTGGTGCTGGCCAGGGCGGAATCGGACATCCTGCGAAACATATTCCAGTGCTTCAGCACCAAGGTGGGTGCCTGGGTGGGTGCCTGGGCGGGCACTGGGGCCAGCGCTGCACATTTTAACGCATCTCACTTTTTGTTGTTCAGGTTCTGGGAATAAAGGTAGAGACCAAGGTACAGTGTGTAGGAGTTAAGTTAAGCCTGGACTATGCCTCTCTCTCTCTTCTGGGCTGGGTTGTGAGCTTCAGGGCCAGGAGCGGGGGGTGGGGGAGCACTCACAGGGGCTCACGGGGCTGGCCTCTCCAAGAGTGCCTGCGTCAGGGCTGAGCTCTGAAGCCAGGACAGCCACCTCAGGTTGCACTAACACATTTCCCTTCTGGAATCTCTGGCACTAACCTGGAAGCCCTCCTCTGGGGCTATCGGGCCCTCCTCTGGAAGAACAGACCCTCCGGTCTCCTGGGGTTGGCTGGGGATGTCATTGTTCTGCTAGTTGCCCCTTTTCCCCAGACCATTAGAGTGGGGGAAGGGCGCCATGAATTCCACAGAACAGCTGTCCTCATCCCCTTCCCCAGCCCCACAAGGCCAAATTGGTGGGACAGGCAGGGGCAGCCCCATTCTGCTTGGGCTCATCTTAGGTGTGCTTCCTGCTCCTCCCACTTTGGGGGACCCTCCCAGCCACACTGTGGGATGCAGGAGGTGCAGGTGGACAGAGCACACCGTCTCCTTGCAGTCGTCCACCCAAGGCCATGATCCAGGGCCCCCCAGGCCTGGGCCCGGCAGGGAGCTGATTGCCTCAGGGTACCGTCTCGGCCCCACATTTGTCCCTGTGGCTTTGCCTGGAGCAGGAGGACTGGCTAGGGCCCTTAAGAGCAGAAGGGAGTGTGTTTCTGGCTGAAGAAAGAAAAGGGCGTGTGGTCTGGCCTCTGCTGCCATGGGCAGCCCCCGATTCTGGGCTCAGCCCTGTCGGCCAAGAGGCAGTCGCCACCACCTCAGAGCAGAACCATGCAGGGGAGGCACTGGCAGCCTCCTGCAGCCCACTGTCCCTCCAGGACCCGGCCCTGAGGCTGTGCCTCGTCCAGAGCGTGTGCATGGTCTGCCAGGCCATCTGCAGCAGCACGCAGGCCAGCTCCTTCCACTTCTCTCGGAAAGTGGAGCTGGTGGCACAGATGATGGTAAGCACTGTGTGGGACCTGGGGGGTCCTAGGGAGGTGGAGGGTGCGATGCACACAGGGAGGTGGGCCTGAGGAGGCCCCAGGGAGGCGGCGTGCCTGAGGGGCCCAGGCCCGCTTGAGTTGAGGCACAAAGGTGGCCAAACCATGGCCTGATGGGAGGCTGGCGGGGAAAAGCTGGCGCTTCCCACAAGGGGCTGAGTCATGTGGCCGCCTCCCGCAGGAGTTCATCAAGGCGGAGCCCCCCGACTCGCTGAGATCACCCATTCGCAAGAAGGCCATGCTGGCCTGCACTTACCTGGTGTATCCTTTCCTCCCGGCGTGGCTGGGGTGCCACCGTGCGTGGGGGGTGGCTGTGCGCAATGCTTCTGCTTCCGGCGAGCGGTGGTGGGGGCTGCAGGGCTGGCCCTTAACTCGCGGCTCAGCTCCCTGGAGCCGGCGCTGGATGAGCAGGAGCAGGCCGACATGATCCACAGCTGTCTGCACAGCGTCATGGCAGTGCTGCCCGAGCCCGAGGGGGAGGATGGCGGCCAGGAGGTATCGCTGCGGGCCCCTCGCCACTGGCCCGCGTCCGTGGGGGGGCAGAGGAAAGGCCGCTGTGGGCGGTGGGCTCACCTGTGGCACCGGCGCCTCATCTTCCAGTCCCTGTATCCGGACACCATGCACGCCCTTGAGGATTTGCTGACGAGCCTCCTACGGCGAAACATGACCCCGCATGGCCTGCAGATGATGGTGGAGGTGTGTAGCGGGTGTGCACCCTTTGGGGCCCCACCTGGCAGCCACCCTTTCTTGGTTTCTCCAGGCCCTCCTTGGCACAGGGGCAGTTTGGTGCTGTCTGAAAACGTTGGGGGGGGTCTACGAACAAGTGGGCATTGCCTCACTCCTGCCTGGGCAAGTTTGCAGATGGGATGGGTGGGCCCTGACCCAGGTGGGGACTTGGGACCTGGCGTTGTATTTCCTCCGTTGAGTGGTGCTGGGAGGAAGAGGCCCTGCGTGGGCCCCTGGTGTGAGCCATCCAGACCGCGGGATGGGCAGGCCGTGGCAGTCCTGGTTCCTTCCTGCCCTCTTCAGCACTGCAGTGGGCTGGGCTGGGCTGGGGCTGGCCCACTTCTAGGAACACTCCACCCCTCTAGGCCAGGCTTGCTCTGGGTCTGCCTGGGGTGGCCGTGTCTGTGAGTCAGGCCAGCCGGACAGGCATGGAACAGGGGTGAGCGCAGGGTTGCCTGCTCCGACCTAGCCTGCTGTCCCTCAAAGCCGGGAAGGGTGGCCTGACAGGGATGCTGAGCTGCTGGTGGTGCACGGGCTCCTGCTTCCTGGGCTGTCTCCCAAGCTGGCATCTATGTGAAGCCCGCCTCTTCCCCAGCACCTGAGCCCATGGATCAAGTCCCCGCGGGGCCACGAGCGCATGCGGGCGCTTGGCGTGAGCTCCTGCCTTCTGCAGTCCTTCCTGGAGCACCTGCACGTCAGCGTGAGTCCCCTGCCCGTTCTGTCCCTGGGTCCTTGGGTCCCTGGGCTGATGATTGCTGTGTGCAGTCCTCATGTCCTGAGTGCGCAGCGGGCTTTCTGGCTGCCCTCCAGCCACCGCCCTGCACGCGTTCCTGTCCCCCTTGTCCTCTTTCTGGAGACATGGACGAGGACGTGGCAGGGCCAGGCATTGTCCTCAGGGCAGGCCACTTGGAGTCCAGTCTGATGGGCACCCTTGTCCTCGGGAGCCCATGCGTCAGCCGGGACTATGTGCTGTGTCCCCCAAGTAACGGAAAGGGTGATGGGGAACTGGGTGCAGGAGGCGAAAACGAGGGCATTTGAGGCAGAAGCAGCAGTTTGGGCACAGACGGGGAAATGTGACTGTGGGATGTTGTGGAAAAGGCAGATACTTGGGGCGGTTGCAGGGCGTGGGCAGGGTTTGCCCCTGAGCCACAGGGTGGTTGTGTATTTTAATATTTGGAGAGACTTGGGAGCTCATTGCTACACGTTTTCAGAATTGCTGTGGTTGTGACAAGGCTGCTAATCCAGGTGATTTTCGGGTAAATGGGACACAGTCGTAAAACATTCCTGTTGTGATTGTGACACTGAGCGATGTCTGTAACAGCCGGTCTCTCCATCGGCCTCCAGGCTTCCTAGGTGGTGGTGTCGCTGCCACCATCAGTGTAACTTCCTCTCCAACTGTCCCTAACTGCTACTGCTGGTGTGTGGGAAAGTGTGAGGGTTTGGATACTTAGTAACGGGACTTTATAAGATTCCTTTCTTACTTCTAATGAGTTTTGAGCTAATTTCCTGTGCTTTTCAGATAGACAGTCAAGCGTTTATAAACGCTGGTGATTTTGGCTTTTCCCCCCAATACCTACACATCTTAGTTCCTTCTCTGTCTAGCACGTCTAGAACAGGATGAGAACTGATGGCAGCCTCAGCCTATGGCAGAGTCCCGCTGTCGAGCACAGCGCGTGGTTTAGTTGGCAGTGTTGATGCTCGTGTTCCACAGCACCCAGATTTACTTTAACCAGGACTTTGGTCAGGAACAGAGACGAGATGTTGTCAGTCCCTTTTGTCATCTATCGGAATGATCGTAGGCTGTTTCTCTTGCTGTCCAGATTCTTTTTTTCTTTTAACCTTTTTATTTTTTAATTTTTTAAATTTATTTATTTTTTTTAGCTGAGCCATCCTGCCACATGTTGGCAGCTCAGCGGCTGCTCAGCTCGGGCCGGGACTCGAACCGCTGTTGCTCAGAGCTCAAACTCTTGAGCGAGCTCTTAACCAACTGAGCTACTCAGTGTCCACATCCTTTATGGGACCAGATCTGTCTTGTATCTCGATGGTTTTCGCCTCTGCACACGTGTAGATGGGCTTTTCCCACTCAGGTTCTTTTGTGTTCTGGCTTTCACAGAACCCCAGTGCAACTCGAGTTGTCTTTGTGTGTGACGTGACAGATAGTTGACCTCACTGAGAGGAGCAGCAGCAGGTCCCCGGTTTTTTTCCCAACCTCCAGCCTCCCCTCCTCTCAGCTCCCATGCTGGTGACTCCAGGATGAGGATGGGGCAGTGGGGTGGGGAGGCCGAGGAGTGTGTGTGGGGTGGTAACTGACATCCAGAGGCAGTTTGCTACGAGCAGGGTGGGGAAAGCTCCTTATCTGAGGAGAGAAGAAAAGGCTTTGGAAAACGGGACCAGACCTAGTTAGGGGTCTCGTGTGGCCCCTCATTCTATGGGCATTTGCCTCCTGGGCAGTGACTCCCACAGGGTTGGCTGGGTCAGCAAGAGCCCTGCCCCCTCTGCTGCACGTGGGACTCAGCCTCGCCGCCTGACGGTCCCTGTGCCTGTACACACCTCCTGGCTCTCGTTCCCGCCTAGGGTGTGGTCAGAGCTGAGCTGTGTGGAGCCCACGCTGGGGTGGCAGGCGACCCTGCAGGGGCGCTGCTGGCCACAGGGAAGCCTCAGGGCTGGGTGGACAGGGGCGGCCCTCCTGGCCACACTCCTGCCCACCCCAGTGTCCCTACAGCACCCCTTTGCCCCGCCTCTCCAGGCCCTGGTGCCCTTCCACAACCTGGGTCTCCTCGTCGGCCTGTTCTCCCCACGGTGTGCGGACCTGTGGCCTGCCACCCGCCGGGAAGCTGTGAGCTGCGTCTACTCCCTGCTGTACCTCCAGCTGGGCTACGAGGGTGAGCCCCCAGCTGGGCAGAGGTGCGGAGGGGTGAGGAGCAGAGCCTGGGCCTCAGGTGGCCAGGTGGTCCTCTGCCCTCTCCACGCTCCCTCCTGCCCGCAGGTTTCTCCCGTGATTACCGGGACGACGTCGCTGAGCGGCTCCTCACCCTCAAAGATGGCCTCGTGCACCCCGACCCTGCCATCCTCTTCCACACCTGCCACAGCATAGCCCAGGTACCTGCTAGCGTGTCCACAGAGGGAGGAGGCCGCGTGGGCTCTGCAGGCGCGAGGACGGGGTGCCCCATGGGGCCCGTGGGCTCGGGATATGGATGGGGCACATGGTCAGGTTTCATTCAGAGACATACCTGTCTGACCAGCATCACCTCTGCAATGTCCTGCACTCCTGGGGCCACCCTCTGAGGCCCAGCAGGGAGGGCGTGGTGAGGACCTGGCTCCTGGCTCCAAGGGGCTGAGAAAGCTGCCCAGCCCGCCCTGTGGGCTCCCACAGCAGGGCCAGGGCGGTGCTGTTACTTCATTTGGTGTTGGGAGCGGCCCTCAGGGGTCCGGAGGCTTTCTCTCCTGCAGAAGGGGGAGGGGGTCAGCAGGGCCCTTTGGGGGAACGTGGGGGCTGGGCAGGTGCAGGCGTAGCAGTGACTGTGCTTGGGGTCAGACTGCTTGGCTGTTCACAGCTTCTGTGTTTCTGCATCGTCTTTGTACAGCGAGGTGTTTCCCCTTCATGCTGTTCGTGCTTTAGTGTCTGCCGCTCTGCTGTGCTGGGGGAGAGGGAAAGGCACCTGTTGCTGGGCTGCTGGGGGGCTGAGCACCCTGTGGGCCTGTGGCTGGGCCGTCCATGGTGCGACGTCTGTATTCTAGAGAGTTCTATTGTGGCTGCACCGGCAGGGCCACCCCCAGCCCACCCCATGGGTCAGGAGGAGCCAGGAGGGTGCCCTGACCCTGCCCTCCAGCTGCCCTCAGGCGCCATCAGGGGCCTGGCCAGCCTCCAGTGGGGGAAGGGGACCACCGCGCCTGCCCCCCACCCCCCTGAGGCGCAGGGCCAGGAAGGCAGTGGGGAGGCTGGAGGAGGGACGCCGGATGGAGTGGTGCGGGCTCTCCCCACAGATGCTGTGCCTGGAAACCCTCTGTTCTGACACGACTGTTCTCCTAGATTATTGCGAAGCGCCTCCCGCCAGATCAGCTCATCAGCCTCTTGCTCACTTTGTTTGAGAGCCTCGGAGACCCCGACAAGAACTGCTCCCGAGCCGCCAGTGTCATCATCAGCTGCCTGCTGAAGGAGCGCGGCAACTTGCTCCTGGAGAAGGTGAGGCCGTGGGGGGCGGGGCCAGACCTGGGGTCGGGGAGAGGACTGGGTATGGGCATGGTGGGTGTGGTGTGGGCCCTAGGCACGTGGGGCGGGGCGGGGTGAGTTGGGGCTCCCCGACATCTGCTCCCCTGCTCTGAGGGGATTTGACTCACTGCTCTGCCCCCTTTCCCAGCGGGCCTAATCAGGACAAATCTTTCTCTTCTCTTTGAAGACAGAGGTTAGAATTTGTCAAAGGTAGTTAAACTGCTCAGAAAGTATGGGAAGAAAAGGAAAATGCAGAAGCTGAGGCGCATGGAGCTGGGGGGAAGAGGGGCTCCCGTAGCTGGTGAGGACTGAGGCCCTGAGCATCGCCAGGCGCCTGCACAGAGGTTCCCACAGTGGGCTGGCCCTAGAGAGGACACTCAGGTGCTGCCGCCCGCCCTTGCCACCTCCCAGCTCTGCATCTGCGGCGTGCGCTCAGGTGGCTGTCCCCATTGTTGTTCCCAAACGTACCACGGGCACGACTCCATCCGACGTGTGTGGCCCTGAGCTCTGGTCCTGCAGGTCTGAGGCTCCAAAGCTCAGGCCACCAGCACGCACGCCAGGGCTCCTTTTGTGGTGGGTGTGTGATGGCTTCGCATTAGTTTAGTTTGGTTTCTGTGGTGGCTGCACACTTGTACACATGTTTCCTGGGCTGCCGGGCCATCCCCTTTTGTGAGGACCCCAGTCTTTGGCCGTCTTCTTCTGAGTTGTCTGTGCTTTTGTCACTGATGTGTAGGACACGAGTTTTCCTTTGAGTGTGCAACTGTCTTGTCAGGGAGGGATGAGTGGGAACTTGCTGAGGGAGCATCGGCAGACGGGCCACATGCCAGGGAGCTGTGCGTGGAGTACCACCAGGAGAGGGGCAGTGCCCTCACGGGGCACGCGGCCAGGCCTGGGTGCGGAGGCATTGGCGGTCAGGGCCTGGGAGGGAAGTGGCAGGAGGGGAAGACCACACAGCCTGAGAGCCAGGGTTTTCTGGACAAAGACTGGGATTTTATTTCGCATTCACTGGGGCTCTCACATCGGATTCGAGTGGCAGGAACGGTGGCTCTCTGTGCAGGGGCAGGTGCCCAGGCTGGAGGCGCGGCCGCTGGTAGTGCTGGTGTGTGCACACATCTCGATCCATCAGCCGGCGGTGGACACTGCCGCTTCTATGGCTTGGCTGTTGGAAATCATGCTGCTGTAACATGGTGTGTAAATATCTCTTTTGAGACCCTGTCGTCTGTTCTCTTGGGCACATATCCAGAAGGGGCATCGCAGGATCATGTGGCAGCTCTGTTTTTAGCTTTCTGAGGACCCTCCATACTGTTTTCCCCAGTGGCTGCACCAGTTTGCATTCCCACCGGCAGGGCACGAGTGTCCCATTTCCCCACGTCCTCGCCAGCCCGTTATTATCCGTTTTGCTTTACAGCCGTCCTCGTGGGTGTGCGGCGGCTTCTCATGCTGGTTTTGACTTGCATTTCCCTCGTGACTCGTGGTGTTGAGCCTCTTCTCATGGGCTTGTTGGCCATCTGTGTCCTCTTTGGAGAAATGTGTGTTCAGGTCCTCTGCCCATTTTTAAGTCTGGTTATTTGATTTTTCGTTGTTGGATTGTAGGAGGTCTTTATGTATTCTGGATATGAACGAACCCCTTATCAGGTATGTGATTGGCAAACATTTTTTCCCGTTCTGTAGGCCGCCGTTTCACTCTGTGGATATACGTGTCCTTTGATGCGTAAAAGCTTTTAAGTTTGATGTACTCCCAATTGTTTAGTTTTGCTTTCGTTGCCTGTGCTTTTGGTGTCAGATCTAAGAAAACATTGTCAAATCCAATATCTAGAAGCTTCCCCGTTTCCTTTCAGCAGTTTATGGCTTTGGGTCCCTCCCACTCTGGGTAAGGGGAGGCCTCTCCATGGGCCCCACATGCCGAGTCAGCTGATGGCTCTCAGGGAAACGCTGCTGAGCTGTGTGCTGACCAGCTCAGGGTATCAGGGCCCAGCATCCCCCAGGGGAGCAGTGCTCCTGACCCCCAGGTTCGTATTGTGAGCGTGTCTGTGACATGCCCCCTTTGTCTCCAGTATGACATGGCACACAGCATCTTTTACCCACAGGGGTCATGACAGGCCTCCGTTTTCTTTCCTGCCTGAGAGACCTTGGCCTGGGGACCTCCTAGAGACTCCTGGTCACTATTTGGCTTTACATTTCTCTGAGGTCAGATCAGAAAATGTGGTCCCATCAGGTGACATGTGAGCAGACTGAACCCTCCCTCCCACCCACACTCCATGATCGTGGCATAGAGCCGAGTGCAGAGGGAAAGACCCCAGACGAAAAGCCACCTCGTGTGACTCCATTCCCATGAGACGTCCAGGACGGGCAAATTCCTGGACAGGGCTGGGGCGTTGGGTGACTGCCAGTGGGCATGGAAATGTGAGGGTGATGGTGGTCGCGTGGCTGTCGGTCATGCCTCAGGGAAGCTTCTGTGCACAAGGACCCTGGGCAGGCATGGGCGTGGGGCTGGCGGAGGTGAGCCTGAGCAGCCCGGGAGGCGAGGCGGAGGGCGCAGGGCTGAGCCCCTCGCAGGGACTAGAGGGACCCTGGTGCGGACGCCAGCCAAGAGCCCTCCACACCCGAGGGCCAGGACGCTGCTGTCACAGTTCGCTGAAGCACAAATCCAGGTGGCTAACACACACCAGTGCATCCTGTTGAAAAAATGCACAAAGGCAGAGAAAATGCTAGAGAAAGTGGGGGCACCCCGGAAGAGTTAGAAGCACCTCTGACAAGATGGGTTGCCCGGAAAGAGTCCCCGTCCAAAGCAGCAAAACATGAAGTGGGAGGGGAGAGCGGGTACGCAGAGAGCGGGTGTCTGAAAGTGCTGGTCTTGGTGACATTAATGCAGGAGGGGTGGGAGAGCCCAGTGACACACAAATGCGGGAGTGACGGAGTGCTAGTGCCAGGCGTCCACTCGCAGTCACCCAGGTGACTTCGGGGGACTGCTGCCCCCTCACCACCGGGAGCAGAGGAGATGGGCCTGTAGATGTGTCAGTGGCCAGCATGGATGGAAAGACCCTCTCTGGCCCACCCACGAAGGTCACCACGCTGGCAGCTGAGGAGTGGGCGGGCTGGGCCAAGCAGGAAGTTCCGCCCCAAGTTCAGCACCTCAGCAGGAGCGGAGGGCTGTTTAATGTGGCAGCAGGGACCTGTCTTGTCGGGGCCGGGGTGGGGGTCTGGGCCAGGCCACTGGGAGGGTCACCCTGCCTGGGGCTCCAGGCACTATCAGGTCCGCTGGCTTCAGTGCTGCACACAGGACAGAGGGCCCAGCTGGCACCGAGGGCTCTGCAGCTCCTGGGATGCCCCTTCCACGGTCCCGAGCCCTGGTTGTGTGTGGCGGGATAGCCCCTGGCGCCCCTGACTCCAGCCTGAGTGCCGTGTCTGTTGCCCACAGGTGCCCGAGATCGTGAGTGTGCTGCGCTCTAAGCTGCAGGAGACCCCAGAGGAGCACGTGCTGCGGGCGGCGCAGCACAGCGTGTGCCTGCTGGCATCCCAGCACTGCGAGGCCGTGGTGTCCAGCCTCCTGGGCAGCCCCCTGCCCTTTGACAGGTACCGGCTGCCTGCCAGCCTGCCGGGGTAGACGGGGCTCTGGTCTAGGCACCAGGCCCGGGGGTCCCTCCTGCCCAGTGCCCCTGTCCCCACCTTCCTCTAGGGACAAGGTCACTGTGCCCACCCTCTGCAGGCCCCAGATTTCAGTGGGCGCCCTGGGCTCGCTCTCCCGGGCTGTGCCGTCCACTCCCTCCTCCTGAGCCTTTCCTCTGCAGGGTGCCCGCCACCGTCTGTGAGCAGATCCCCGGGGCCTGGCCCTCAGTTTGAGCCAGGGAAGTTCCCCATGTCCGCCGTATCCCAGCGTGTCCCCTACTTGCACTCCCAGCTCCCGAGCCCCCATCTGTGCCCCAGTACTGCCTGTCCACTGCAGCCGCCTCAGGTCACCTCACCGTCCAGGTGGCCGTTGCTGTGGTCACAGGCCTGCCGGTGCTGCCTGTCTTTGCTGTCCCCATGGTGGGGAGAGGCCAGCCTGTGACCTGGAGACCCCCATTTTGTGCGTCCTGTCCTCAGGCATTCGCCTGTGAGCGACTCCTGTGAGCCCCGCTGTCACGTAGGCGCCGTGTCCTGGCGTGGCATATGGCACACCTGTGTTCTCCAGCCAGGCCTCGTGCATGGAGGGGCCCCTTTGGTGACCATTTGCCTGGTGTCTCCTCTGCCATCGTATCACTGTAGTGTTTTAGGAAATACCGCCTTTTGTTGCTGATGTTGTTGGGTTTTGTTGCTGATGTTGTTGAATCCAGTTTTGTTTTGTGTTTTCTGTGTCACTTTTTTCCATCTGCTTTCTTGTCTTTCTTCAAGACTGAAAGGGTCTTTTCTATAATTTTTTCTATAATTTCGTTTTTCCATTCAGTTACTTTGCAAGTCAAACACTCAGCTTTTGTTCTTTTAGTGGTTGCCCTAAAATGACCACATGTCCACCGAGGACGTCCCCTCTGTGCCTCTGGTTTCTGTCGGGGTCTGGTGCGCGGTCAGCCTGTGGCCGTGTCACCTACATCTGCCGCCCTGCTCTCCATTCACCCCTTTGCTCCACTGTTCACGGGGCGTCACTCACACAGAGGAGCCTACACATGGTCACTGGGCCCTGTGGCGTCCCAGGCCACAGGCCACTGCTTACAGGAGGCACAGGGCACACGCACCCTGTGGCGGAGTCGCTCTGAGAGGTCACCACTGTCACCGCAGGTGTGTCTTCCTGGTGCTGAGCTCGGTGTGAACGGAGCCCCACGGGACCATCTGTCCCACCACAGGCCACCTGCTGTCTCCCTGATGGCTGGTGTGCCGGGGGCACCACGCTGTCCACTGAGGGAGAGCTGTCCTAGGCCACCGGTTTCTGGACAGCCTGTGAGCTGAGAACAGGTTTTACCCTTATCAGTAGCTGGGGAAAGTCAGAAGACTATTTCATGGTGTGAAATGCGGGTTCCAGTGTTGAGTCGTTTCATTGGCACCCACTGTCCCCATGGGGGTGTGCGGCTGCCCTGGATGCTGGCGATGGGCCCCACCACCTGCGTCCATGCCATCCTGGTGGGCGTGTGTGGCTGTGCACATGGCCGCCCAGGCTTTGGCTCCTTTAGGGCCGCTCGTCTCCCACGTGCCTCCTACTTGAAGCACATCCTGCAGAAGGCCCTTGCTGGGGCCTGCTGCTGGTGGGCACTTCACGCTGTCCTCAGATGTGTCTGTCTGGCCATACTTGACTATGACTTTTGTGGAGCTTGGAATTCCACGTTGGCGAGTATCTCCTTTCAGTGTCCTTTGTGGCTGGCGCTGTCCTCGCGGAGGACGCACACTCGCTTCTATGAGCACGGGGGCCCCTGCCGCTGGGGTGTTGCGCTTTCCAGGTGGGGCCCCAGGGCTTCCTCCTTTCACTGCTGGAGCTGCCAGGCTTCTTGAGTCTGAGGCAGCGTCTGTCACCAGTTCTGAGCTTGTTCCTTTTGGACTGTCCCGTGCCTCGGGGATGCCAGTCGGCGCCCGTTGAACCTTCTCATCCATCCCCCACGTCTCTGGTTCCGGGTTCTGAACGGAACGTGGTTGCTCCCTGCGCTGGGTGTGGCTGCTTTCCTCCGTCCGCCTTCCAGAGCAGTCTCTTCAACTGCGTCCAGGCTGGCGCCACATGTGTCCACCGAATGCAGGGCGACCTCTCGTTTGTAAAGAGCTGCAGGTTCTTGTTCACATTTGCTCTGTTTTCACGGTTTCTGGTTCTGTTAGACATCTGAAGTTTGTTCTTCCTCCCTGCACACACATTAAAACTCAGCATAGCCACCCCTGCTGTCTGCATACAACATCTGCAGGCTGCGTCCAAGGCTTCTCACTTAAGGGCCTGTCCCCTGTGTGCCTGGCCTCAGGCCATTGCTCACTGCCCTGGAAGATGCATTTGTGGTGCCCCTGAGGCCGCCCGTGGGCCCCTCCCACCACCGCACCTCAGGCCCTCTGTTTGGGCCACGACCTCTGTCTCTGCCCTGTGGGCAATTATGCCCAACACTGGGCAGCCTGTTGCGGTCCCTGGGGTTAGGGCACCATTTCCTCTGGAGCTGCATTTGGTGGGCTGGTCTGGGGGCGTGGAGTTGGGATTGACCGGCAGGGGCCTCGAGGTGACCGCCCTCCCTCCCGGCTCCAGCCACACCTGCACCCTGTGGCGGGCGCTGGCCTCGGAGCCCGGCCTCACCGCACAGATCCTGGGGCTCCTCCTGCAGAAGATGAGCAGGGACGTCCCGTTCAAGGAGAGCCGGGCCTTCCTGCTGAGCAGCTCCCCCGACCGCGTGGCCACACTGCTGCCCCTGGCGGTGAGTGGTGACCACCCCGTTGTCCCTTCTCCCCGGGGGTGGGAGGACACCCCAGGTGGCCTTGGTGCTGCCCCACAGGCACCTGGAGCCCAGCCTCGTAAAGGCCTGCAGGTGTGTCGGTCCCCAGGGAGACCTTGCTGTTTCATCCATGGGAAAAAAAACCCCGGCTCCGAGAGGCTCTCAGCAGTGAGGCAGCTGTGAGGCTCCTTTCTGCTGCTAAGGAGCCAAGAGCAGATGGTCGGGGCTGTCCCCAGGTGGCCACACACCAGTGCCTGCCTCCTGCCCTACAGGGCCCAGCCAGGTAGGGCCGCATCCCCCCAAAGGAAGACCTCCGATAGCCCGGGGTGCGTGCTGACGGGATGCGGGCTGGTTGGGGCCCTGGGAAGCAGGGCCCAGCCTTCGTGGTGGCTGGCCTCATTAGAAAGAGCCCCAGAGGGAGGGTGAGCCTGAGGTGGCCCCTGTCCCTAGGCCACCTGTGCGCTGTCGGAGGTCATGTCTGTTCCGGCGTCCGCGCCCGCTGTGCTGGAGCTCTATCCCCAGCTGTTTGTGGCACTGCTGCTGCGTGTGGGCTGCACCCTGGGCGTCCAGCTGCCTCGCAATCTGCATGCCAAGGAGCGGAGGGCCACCGGCTTGGGCCCGGCCTCCCGGAGCCTTGAGCCCTGCAGGTAACAGCTGCCCGCCTCCTGCCCACAGCACGTGCTCCCACTGGACTTTGGGGCCCTGTGGTCTCCACTGAGTGGGCCCTAAGTCCCAGCAGGAAACCAGGACATGCCGGGGCACGGAGCTTCAGCAGCCTGGGTTTCTGCCTGCTCGTTCTGGTCTCGGGGGCCATTACCGGGCCTACCACGGTGGCACCTCAGAGCTCCAGTCACCTGGGGCCACAGGGCGAGCAGAGGAAGCGGATACCTCAGGGCCACTGGAGCCTGAGTGACAATGAGTCCGGGTCCCCTCCCTGTCCATCCCAGTTGTCTGGGGTGGGATGTGCTCCTTAGCTAGGACACGGGGACAGTTCACCCCGCCCCCACTGCAGGGCTGCTCCACAGGACCAGCTCGTAAACTCAAGCTGAGGCCGTATGCCAGGCCCTGCCCTGCGCAGACCAAGTGGAAAATGTGAATGGACCAGAGGACACTGGCCCAACTAGCCCTGGGCCTGGCACAGAGGGACTGCTCCATGGCCCGTGAGTGGTGGGGGCTGCAGGCCTGACGCCCCCACCAGGGCCCCTGCCTGCCACCCCTGAGCTGGGACTCATGTAGAGCCAGCCACAGGGCTTGGCTCTGATGGAGGCTGTCCGCCAGCGAGTCAGACCCTTGCAAATGCCACATCCACAGAAATTCTGGGCAGCAGGCAGGCAGGCAGGCAAGGGAGGCACCCGCGCCTAAATTGTTCACATTCTCTGGGGCCAGACGGGCGCCTCAACACTTCAGATCTGCTGCAGCTGAGAAATGCCCTGGTCACTGGTCTCAGCTTGAGCACGGCCTCTGGGCCACGTGGTGTCTTGAGGCCTGGGGCAGGGTGTAGGGCTGGGGTCTCACACACCGCCAGGACTCGCTGTGACCCTGTGGGCATCTGCCCAGTGACCACGGTGGCTGGTGTGGTTCCCTCTGTACCTGTGGTCAGCATGAGCTGCTCCGCCTCCAGGGACAGCAGCCCCTCCAGTGACCTGGCCCCGCACTGGACTCAGGGTTCCTGGGACAGGGACAGCTGCCTTGTAGCATTTCCTCTCTGGGGAGGGAGCCGCAGAGGGGGCCTGGTTTGTGGATGCTCAGTGAGAGCTCACTGGGAGCCCGTCCGTTGGGGACAGATGCGGGACACTCCTTGCTGACATCCCCACAGCCATCAGGCTATCTGAGGGTGACCATGGGGGTGGGCATGGGCCGTGGGGGGCGCCACCAGCACCCGCCCCCTGGGCCGCCAAGACCCCTGGGTCGACTCAGCTCCGGCTTCCCTTGGGCGGGGGCCCTGCAGCCCCATCCAGACCCTCGCACTTGTATGGGGCTGGCCTGGAAGTCTCACAGGGCCGCAATCTTGGGGACCTCAACAAGCTTGTCCCCAGATTCACATGTGAGGCCCCGCCACGTGGCCAGCAAGGCCTGCCCCCTGTGCCCCCCACTCCCGCCACACCCCAGCAGCACCACCGTTTCAGTCATGGGAAGTGCTGCTGGTCTGGCCTAGCAGGAAGTAGCTGTGGACCTTGCACTGTAGTTGTTGCCCAGATGCTGGTCAACTGCGCTGCCCTGTGGGTGGGTGGCTATCCTTGGACCTCATGGATACATACGTCGGCAGGCCGGGTGACCACTGTGCAGGGGAGAGGTCAGTGCGGAGCCTGTGGCCCTCTCTACATGGTTCTGAGGACCTGCCAAGCTGTCTCTGGGCCACAGGCTTTGGGCTGACTGCTCTCCCTGGCTTGTGGGGTCATGTCCTTGCTTCTGCCTTGGCTGGGGGTGTGTCCAAGTGAGACTGGCAGACACAAAACTCCTGCAGGGTCAGGCCCACCTCTGTCACCCCTCCCCCTCAACTGGCTGAGCTGGGGGACAGAGCTGAACACTTCCTGGCCAGCCACTGCAGCTCTTGGCTACTCTCTGGCCTCGGAGCCTAGGGGCCACGTTGCATATCTGGGAGTGGCAGAGCCTTGGGGTCTTCCAGGTGGGTGCAGTTGGACACATGGGAGAGACCGACTTGGAGTGCAGGAACAGGCTTTATAGGGGTCTGAGCCCAGGAGTTGGGGACAGGGGCAGTCTTCACAGCCTGAGACCAGAGGGTCCACAGCCGCTGGGCATTGCCCTGCTTGGGGGAGGGGAGCAAGGACCTGCTCCCCACAGGATGTCATGGGCAGCCTGGGGTGCCCTACCCTGAGCCCACTCCCACATGCCTGCAGCTCTGCAGTGGGTGCTCTGCAGCTCACCCTGGTCCGAGGGGGCAGTGAGGAGGTGGTGCAGCGTGTAGAGCTGGAGCGAGGCTGGGAGTCACTCAGGACATCCGTGGGGCACGAGGAGGGTGTCGCCCGGCTGGCCAGGTAAGAACCAGTGGGCGGGGACCCCCAAGGGCACGTGGGAGGGGCCCAGCATGAGAGCAGGTGCATCAGCCTTGAGGGCTGGCTCCCGGCTCCAGGCTGGTAGCTGTCCAGGGACTGGAGAGGAGTCCTGTCTGCAGGGGCTGGGCCAGATGGGCTAGGAGGGGCATGCCTGGGGGTCGAGGATATACAGGGCCTGGCAGCTGCGTAGATGGGCTCCAGCCAGAGGGCTCTCACTGCAGGGTGGGGAGCGGAGCCCTCCCCCCATGGGGATATTGGCCCAGAGCCCCGCCCTTGCACCCTGTGGCCTCCTCCCCTAGCGCCATGGCGAAGTTCGCAGGCCCCCGGCTGCCTCTGGTGATGAAGGGGCTCGTGTGCACACACAGCAGCGTGTACGAGATCCAGAGGGTCACCTCCACAGCCTTCCTGGCAGAGGTAGGGGCTGCTGGCTCTGGACCACTGCCGGGGGCCCGGCAGCATGGCAGAAGCACCTCAGGTCGGCACTGACCTGCCCCACACATGCTTGGTGTGGGTGGGTGTAGAGGCCCCTGGGACATGCCTGGTGACATCTCCACTCTGTGCCCAGTGGAGGGAGACCTTGGCTGTGTGTGGTCTGTGCTAGCCCAAGGAACTGATAGTGCTGAAAACCTGCCCAAGGCCAGGGCTGTGGGGACCAGGGTTCATGAGCCCAGCTTGGCCCATAGGGCCTTCGGCTGGCCTTTGCAACGTCCACCCCTCAGTGGCCTGGGACAGGGCTGCCTGGCAGTACAGCGGTGGGGCATGGGGAGCGGGGGCAGGTGCTGCTGCAGATCTGAGGTGGCGGCCTGAGCTGGCAGGGGAGACAGCTCCTGGGGTCAGTGGAGCAGGCTGTCACCTCACCTCTGCCTCTAGCTGCTCAGCAGCAATGTGGTGAATGACCTGATGCTCCTGGAGTCGCTGCTGGACAACCTGACAGCCCGGCAGAAAGACGCGTGTGCCAGCGTGCGGCGGCTGGCGCTCCGTGGCCTGGCCAATGTTGCCTCTGGCTCCCCCAATAAGGTGAGCCAGCCACCAGCCCTGGGGCCTTGACAGTGAGATGGACAGGACACAGTGGACGCTGTGTGGGGGCAGTGGGGATGTGCATGCAGGTGGCCTGAAGAGCCCATGGTGTGGGGGGCTGGCATTCTGTGACAGTGTGTGACAGGCACCATGGCTTGGTGGCCTGGGGACACGGCGAGCATAGGGTATCCCCAGGTACGGGCCCGTGGCCCCCAGCTCCTGACAGCCATGATCGGTGGGCTGGATGACGGGGACGATCCGCAGAGCCTAGTGGCCCTGGAGGCCATGGCGGGCCTTGTGAAGCTGCTGGACCTCGTGGAGCCCGGGGACCTGCGCCCAGTGCTCCTGCACGTGGCCATCCGGATCCGGCCCTTCTTCGACAGCGTAGGCAGGGGCAGCATGGCCCCAACACCCCCCTCCCCACCAGCCAGGCCATCCTGCCTCTCCCTCAGCTTCAAGCGTCCACTCCACCTTATTCCCAGGGAGAGCATGGCGCCCTCCCCAGCTCCAGATGGAGCCTGCAGTGTGGATTCGGCGGGGCGGGGCTCCCAGTGCTCTCCTGGCCTTTCCCCCATCTTTTCCTGCTACCCTCTGTCACTGCTTCAGGTGCCCTATCAGGCCCATGCCAAGTGGGGCAGAGCACCCGGCATGAGGACATGATGGTGTAGGGAAGGGCCTGGGCCTAGCACCAGCGGTTGGGCAGGGCTGGGGAGGCCCTGTGGGGTGACACCTGGCCCCCCACCCCAGGAGAAGATGGAGTTCCGATCTGTGTCCATCCGCCTCTTCGGGCACCTCAACAAGGCCTGTCATGGGGACTGCGAGGACGTCTTCCTGGAGCAGGTCGTTGGTGGGCTGGCGCCCCTACTACTGCACCTGCGGGACCCGCAGTCCTCCGTGGCCGCTGTGAGTAGCCAGTGGGGGATGGACAAGCCTTTGGGACTCGGGGCCTGGGCATCTCGGGACTGAGTGTCGGCTCGCAGGCCTGCAAGTTTGCCCTGCGCATGTGCGGGCCCAACCTGGAGTGTGAGGAGCTAGCGGCTGCCTTCCAGAAGCACCTACAGGAGGGCCGGGGCCTGCACTTCGGGGAGTTCCTCAACACCACGTGCAAGCACCTGGTGAGGGGGCGGGGCCGCCGGGGCGGGGCCGGGAGGGGTGGGTGCCGTCTCCGTCATTGGCCACCGTATGGAGGCCTCCCTCCCTCCCTCCTGCAGATGTGTCACTTCCCGGACCTGCTGGGCCGCCTGGTGAGCACCAGCCTGTTCTACTTCAAGAGCAGCTGGGAGGACGTCCGCGCTGCCGCCCCCATGCTCACCGGTGAGTGCCCTCCCCGCGGCCCCCTGCCCCCTTCCCCGCGGCCCCTGACCCTGACCCGACCCCCCTGCCCGCAGGGTTCCTGGTGCAGCACGTGGAGCCCGAGCAGCATCGTCCACAGGTGGACCTGGAACATCTAACTGCGGGTGAGACCCCACCCCCGCGAGGGCGCAGAGGCCCCCTCCCCCCCACCTGTCGGTCTGCACAGGGCTCCTGTGGGCTGACCCTGTTGGCACCAGGGGGACTAAGTGATTTTCCTGGATTTCAAGGATTTTTTCCCTGTCACTGGTGACCTCATCGTCTCTAGTAATTCACGGAAACTTCTTAACTGTTCCAAAAGAGCTTAAAAAACACTAAAAAAGGAAAAACTATCTTTCCGTTGGCTCCTGAGCCCTCCCGGCAGAGGCCTGTCTTGGGCGGGCGGCAGGCCCCACGCACAGGGCGGGGTGTGCACGGTGGGGTCCTGGCCCCTGGGCTCCTTGCGCCAGGAAGGGGGCGGGACCAGCCCTGGCCGGCTTGTGGGAGGGCCATGGAGGCGCCCGCAGCAGCTGCCTGTCCTGCAGCGCTCCAGCTCCTGCTCAAGGACCCGGCCCCCGCCGTGCGCATGAAAGCTGCCGAGACCCTGGGCCGCCTGGTGAAGTTCGCCTGAGGCTCCGGCGCCTCCCAGACAAGCAGTGCCGGCCGAGTCTGGCCTACGCCTCCAAGGTGCGGCCCAAGGAGCCTCCTAGGCCCACACTGCAGGGGACCGAGTGCCTGGCCTCCTCCAGGAAGCTGCTGGAGGCCACGCAGGGAGGACCAAGTCTGTGCCCCCCAACTTTGCTTCCAATAAAGCCACTCGCTGCTCAGGTGACCAGGGGGTGCAATGACAGGCCTTTCCTTGTGCGACAGGTCAGCTGGTGCCCCCCTACACACACACACACACACACACACACACACACACACACACACACGCGGCTGAGTGAGGTGTGGTGGGACAGCCTGTCAGGAACCCCAATTCAGGAAGGTCACACCACCAGTCTGGGAAAAAAGACCTCTATTGAGGGTCCTGTGCATGCTCCCGGTCCCAGAGCAGGCCCAGGGCCTAGGTGAAGAGGCGGACGGTGCCGTCGGCCCCCGAGGAGAAGACCCACGGCTGGGTGGGGTGGAAGGCGACATCCAGGACGCCCAAGTCGCGGGTCAGCGTGTGTCCCCTCAGCACCTTCACGGGCACCAGCAGCGGGTTCTGCAGCAGATCGCTGTGGGACAGGGGATGATGGGCTCAACACAGCAGCACACTCCCGGCGGGGAGGGGCGGGGGGGGTCGTCCCACACTCACTTGTACACCATCCCGTGGCAGACGATGACACTGCCGTCATCCGAGCCAGATGCGAAGAGTGGGTAGCGGGGGTGGAAGGCCACAGCCCGCAGTGCCTTCTTGTGGTGCCTGGTGGAGGGGCAGGGAGTTTTGACCTGATTGAGGGGGGT